CCTTGTCACCTACCCTTCTCCACAACGACGAAGACAAAGACAAAGACGATGACGAAAACGTAGACGAAACCACCCACTCCACTCGTTCGGTCCAACTCCCCGATCCTCTTCTTCATTCCTTATCCATTCTCTTTCCGTTCCCTTTACTCACCACCACGTTTGTGTATTTAGAAACCCATCACTTGATCTTCCTTCAACCTGAACACCTCCAAAAAGCATCCTGGGACCACCACCGGGTCCGACCTCTTTCTCCGTTCCACTTGATTTGGTTCATGCCACGACGACCTCGAACGAAGGTCCATAAAAAGAGCCACCCCCCCACGACCCTGCAGGAGGCCGTCCAGGCATGGAACGAACAGAGGGAAGGATGGACGTCTGTCTCCTTGGCTCCTCCGTTACGTCCTTCTTCAGGGCCTGAAAAAAAGGAAGTCATGGATTCGTGGGATCCCTGGTTGGATGCGACGGTCACTTTGTTTCCATTTTCGGGGTATTGTCCGTGTTCATTTTTTCATTCCCACGTGCTTTCATCGGGTTCTACCTTCATGGTACGACGATGCTTCACTCTTTTTTTTTTTTTTTTTTTTTTTTTTCGTTTGCACTTCAACTCTTCCAAAGAAGAAACGTAGTGGACCACTTCAGATGTCTAACGTACTTCCTTCTCTCTCTCTCTCTCTCACTTTTACTTTTTTTTTTTTTTTTTTTTCTTGGTGGTGTGTGATGGGATGGGATCGTCTATGTAGTGTCCTCATCTTTTAGCGTATCATTTACTTAAACAAAGAACCATCGCTTCTTCTTCGTCCACGGGACTGGAGAGCTCGTCGGTGTTTAGTGTGGATCAAGAAGGATGGAAAGACTTGTGTTTTGAATACTTGATGCATGGACAAGTGTTTTTGGAATCCCACTTAAACCACATGAACTCCTAGAAAAAGGGGTCGGGGGTGTAGACAAGACCTGTTTTCCATTCATGAAGAAAGTTGAAATAGATATAGATAACTAAAATGGAAAGAAATCCAACGCAGGGTTTCTTTCGTTTATTCGTTTGATGACTCATTGATCTTATGTATTTCAAGGGATTCAAAAACAAAGCATCTCCACACACACACGTTTTATTCTTAAAAAGAAATCTATCTACATATAAAGAAAGAAAGAAGACAGATCTCATCAGGGAGAGAGGGTGGGTGGTCTCTCTCTCGTTGACTTAAAAAAAAAAAAAAGATCTCCTTCCCTCTTTACATGGATGGAAACTTTCAACGTTCAACTTTATAGAGAATGGAGATGACCCTTCTCTTTCTTTTTCTTTTTTTCTTGTATGAAACGTCTCTCTTGCTCTTTGTGTGACCCCCCACCCTTTCTATTTTTATGAAGTGAAGAACAATCTCACCTCTCTTCTTTCCATGGACGACGTGTGTGCTTATGTTGTAGAGGATAGAGGACGGATCGTTTTCTTCTTCTTGGGTTTTTTCGTTTTCGAGGTTGACTTCGACCACCCCGTGAAAGTCGTCGAAGTGGAAGAGGAGTTGGAGGGGGGTGGGGTGTTGTCCACGTTGTTTTTCAAGATGGACAAACGACCTTCACTTAACGCTTTTTTCGCCATGAACGCTTCGACTTGATGAAGACGTTGGTTAGCCATTTTCTAAATATATCCAAAAGCAAAGAAGAGTGAAAATACAGTTTTAATAAAGTTAGAAGGGGATTTTCGTAGCTCAAGTAAAAGAAAATAATAATAATAAAAAAAAAAAGGGTAACCTCACCTCTTTCATTCCCTCGTGGTTATTGTGATGGTTCTTTATTTATTTATTTTTTTAAAAAAAAAAACAACTACCTTTTTAAATTTCTCATGTCGATGTACACCGGTTGTTTTGGGTTTAGGTTTTTCTACCGTTGACATTCCATGCATGCATGCATTCCCATGTTTGGAGTCGTGGGTGGACCATAAAAATTCAATAAAACGATAGAAACAAAGATATCAAAAAAAAGAGGGGGGGTTGAGTGTGAATGGGGACCTCTCTCTCTCTCTCTCATTTGTCTTTTTTTTTTTTTTTTTTTTTTTTTTGAAATTAAAAGGTTTTGAGATGAAAGATAGAACAATAAAAGCATTCTATCACGAAGGATCAAACGTAAACTTCAAATATTCATAATGATTTTTTAAATTATACATTATACATTGTATTAGTTGATGTTTAACAT